ACTAACCCAAATGGCTTCCTGAAGTTAGAAACCTGGTGAGTTTGGACTTCACCAGAAAACAGGATCCACAAAGGGCTTTCAATGTTTAAAAGACAAGAGGCTAGCTAGCCTTGTAGAAAAACAGGCAAGAGCCACAGTATAGCGGGTAAGCTAACTTGCCTTGCATGTGGCCAACCAAGGTTCAATCCCAGTATCCTAATCAGTCCCCAGAGCCCTGCCAAGAGTGATCCCTGAATGAAGGGGCAGAAGCAAGCCCTGAGCACTGCTGGGTGTGGCAAAAAGGAAGGAAGGAAGGAAGGAAGGAAGGAAGGAAGGAAGGAAGGAAGGAAGGAAGGAAGGAAGGAAGGAAGGAAGGAAGGAAGGAAGGAAGGAAGGAGCAGAAAGACCTTTCATAATATAAGAGATGGGGGCCCATACACAGTATAGGCCTTATGTACCTATACATAGAATAATTATGAAGACTAAACAAGGCAGTATACACAAAGCACTAAGCACCAAATATGACAAGCACAGTTAATTTTAAGGACATTATTGCTCTGGCACATTTTAAGTGCCCAATAAGATAAATATTGTTGTTTCTTCAAGAGCTGGCCCCATGGTCCTCGCCAAACTTACTTTCCTCGTTTTTCTAGCAACCCTCTTCATCCTTTACACTGAATCTCCTGCAGCTAACATATATCAACCTATCATGGCACTACCTAAAAGTTCTCTCCTCTTTCTGGACTAGGTGCATTGAAGTTTTCCCTCAGTACTTAGTTCACACACAGTTCAATATTGTGATTCCCTGACAATTGCAGCTGACTTCTCTGGATTAGCAGTTTGGGAAGAGTCTTTGTGTCGTGACTTCTCTTCTGGTTTTCGGATTTGTCAAGACGCAGGAGCAATAGATTCAAGGGGGCATTAAGTCTATCTCTGCTCAAAGATGACTGATGTAAGAACCAAAGGCAGGTCACTAAGTTTGTAATTACTGACAAGCCCTATACTTATCCAGTACTTACTAAATGCCAGGCAGCTAACAAGGCATTTACAGATGAGGAAACACAGATATAAGTCATTAATCCATGATCAGTAATAGGGACTTACAGAAGAATGAACTCAACTACTGGCAGGAAACCTCCATATGGGGCCACGGATATTAGGTCATGGGTATTAATCAAAGGGTATTAGGGAGCATGGAAGCAAAGTAAGGGAAAGATACTCCTGGCCACTGGCATCACCTGAGAGATACCAAGGTAGTGCAAATGTTCAGTGGACGACTGCACACACTGTTCTTCTTGTCAAGGCAACAGATACACCATACCAACTTCCAAACAGACCATCCCAACCCTTTCCTTTTAGAAATGCAGCTTCTCCTCTGAGGACACAAAAAGAAGTTTAAGCATTCTGGCTACAAACACATTCCAATCATGCCTTTCTGAGGTTATAGCTGGGTCAGTTTGGTGAACTTCAAGTTTTTCCTCAAATTCTTTACCCTACATTTATAAAATATCTTTTGATGTATACTTTTTCTATAGGTAACTGATCTGTGCTGAATTTATTACTTCATTCTCAGATATCATTCATATCAAACAAGTATGTAATTGTTCCCAGAACACTATGTGTATACATCCCAGTGACAACAGGAGTGAACAAAACTGCAATATCTCTAAAACCTGTAGAGTTTATTAGGTGCCTCTGACTTTGAGACAATCGGGATACTTTAAAGCAATTGATTACTGGCTTCCTGTCCAAATAAAGTCCTAGGCCTTTCAGCTCTGTATTACAATCAGTACTGCACAGTCTGTATTTTAAGTACTCTATAAAAGTGACTAGATATATTAGGTCTCATTTTTTTGTCACCCAGGGTAAAGCCAGATTATATCTAAAATTCCTTAAAACAAAGCCATAACCATTTAAATCAAATTGTTAGGAAAAGAAAGTAAATGGGATACACAAATCATGAAGGAAGAAGATAAGACAAATCAACTGGTAAGAATCTCAAGAGTCATCAAGGACAGGCCACCTTGGTAAACGATGAAAGGTTCCATTGCATGGAGTAAGTTTGTACTCAAGAACAAATCTAGGGGCTGGAGCGATAGCAAAGCAAGTAGGGCATTTGTCTTACATGCGGGCCGACCCAGGTTTGAATCCCAGCATCCCATATGGTCCCCTGAGCACCGCCAGGAGTAATTCCTGAGTGCAGAGCCAGGAGTAACCCCTGAGCATCCCTGGGTGTGACCAAAAAAGAAAAAAAAATCTAGAAGTCATAGGGAGATAAATGACTTGCAGCAGTGCCAGAGCTGGGTTCAATGAGGGGCAAAGTGGGTCTCTACCTAGAAGTCACATACTAGATGAGTGAGAAAGAGAAAGTGGAGGAAAGAACAGAGGCATGAAACTAGGCCTTAGAAAATGCTTCAGGAAGATATGGGGAGAAAAGCAGCAGCAAAGACAACTGAAAAAGGCACAGTTACAAAATCAAGAAAAGCTCCAAACCATCTAACAAGAGGGGATTCACAACAAGTAAGTTTATCTGACTATGCCAAATATTTACATTTACAGTTCAGAGAAATATTTACAACTTTAGTTCAGAGAAACAGTAAACGGCTACTGCATATATCAATTAAGGGATCCTTAAAAAGGAAAGACTTCAAAGGAGCGGACACAGGCAATGTCAGATTCCTTGGGTACAGCTTGGAGAAGCCCCTGAAGCTCTGCTGGGAGTGGCCCCAAGCCAAAAACAAGACAAAACAAAACCTGAAATATCAACCGTGGCACATTTACCTACTCTACGAACTTATAATGAGAGAAAATGGCATCCTTTTTCTGTAACTCAAAAATAAAGCAATTCCATATTCAAACCAATATTCTTTGCCCACATAGGAAAGTCTTCATTTTCCATGAAAGATAAAATCACAGCAGGAGGGAGTAGATTACCAACCCATGTGGTATCCCAGTGTACTAGCTTTGATTTTTTTGCCCTGCAGCCTTGGAAGACCTGCTTGACATAAAGCTTCTGCTGTATGAGGCTTCAAGTTTCCAGCAGAATAAACATTTAGTATAATCTTCAGCATAATCATGTGCAATTTGTTTAAAAACATTTTTAAGGATGCTTAAAAATGCTGTCTTCCAAAAATCAGAGATAATTTTAGATTGAAAAAATCTAGGCTTGCCAAGGGAATCTGAGAACTTTTCTATCTTGGTCTCCAATGCTAACCTACGTATTCATGTGCAAAAATAGAGGAAGATTAGAATCTCAAATGCCAGACTGAAAAGTTGCCACAACAAACCTGAACTCTTCATATGGCATTTGTTATCTTGTCAGCATAAAGCAATAAATTAAACATTTTACTGTAAATGGTAAAAAGGTGTGTGTGGGGGGGGGCATGGAAACCATGAAACAGTTCCTTGATTCATAAAGAAAAGTGATCTTTATTTTGGAAAATTATTTTTTTAAAGTTACTGTGGCTAAGGATACTTTTTTACAGCATTTTCAGTGGTTTTGCATAACAAATACAAAATATATTATTTCGGTTTTGCTTTGGGGCAGGGATTGGGGTTTGGCATGTCAAAATGTGGTGGTGGGAAGGTGTAATGGTGGTGGGGTTGGTGCTTAAATATTAAATGTAATCAAATATTGTGAACTACTTTATAAGAATAATTTTTAAAAAGCAAATAAAACAATGGATAAAACCAAAAAAAAAAGGCGACTGTGGAATTTAAAAAACAGAATATATAAGATCTATAGATGACCACCTTGACTAAGCAGTCCTTTATAAACATGGCGCAAAACAGCAACTACAGCTTTTTCAGTAAAATGCGGACCACGGACCAATCATTGTCCAAAAATTCCCTATGTCGAATCAAGTGTTAAGCAAATAGCTGGAAAAAAAAAATTTTTTTTTTCTTCTAAAACCCATGAAATGAGAAGCAAACAAATGGAATTCTTCATAACATGGGAAAATCTCTCCAAGCGTGTCAACAGAGAGACAAAAATATTCCTTAAAAAAAAAAAAAAGTCACCTTTGACCTCATTTATAAATTTATCCGAAAATAGCACCAGACAAGTCCTCTCTGCAGACAGATCTGCGCGGGCCCGTGACTCGATGGCCACCAGCAGCGAGCGAGCCTCTACGCTCCCTCCCGTCGGGTGACGGTGACGCGGGAGGGGGGGGGGCTCGTGCCATCCGCCTCGACTGCGGGCCGGGCCACGCTGGCCGTGGTGGTCAGGGCGGCAGGTGGATGCCTGTCATTCAGTGCTGCGGGAACCCTCCGCGCGGAAGCCCGGCTCCGCCACGGGGCCGAGGGGCGGGCGGGCGCGCGTCCCCCGCGGCGGCGGCGGCGGCGGCGGCGGCGCCCGGCCACCCCCGCCCCCGCGAGGTGTTTATCTGCCACCTTCTCTCTCAGGAGGAGCAACCAGGTTCTTATCGCGCGGGGCCGGCGGACGAGAGGGCGGGTCTCCCCCCCCACCCCCACTCCCCTGCGCAGCAGCGCGCCCCGGGGAAAGACACACCCCTGCCCACCGCCGCGGGGGTCCCCGCAGCCCCCACTCCCCCCCTCCGCCAGCGAGCTCGGCGGGGCCGGAGAATCGCATTCCACGGCGGCCCGGCCCGGCCCGGCCCGGCCCAGCCCGGCGGGGAAGGCGAGCCGCGGCCGGGGGCCGGCCTCAGGGCCGCGTCCCCCCGCCCGCCCGGGTGCCACGGACCCCCACCGCCCACAGGCCGCCGGCTTCCGGGAGCGGCGCCCGCTCGCCCGCTCGCCCGCTCGCCCGGGGCTGGCTCGCGGCAGCGCACGCCGCGCCCGGCTCTGACGGGCGCCGACCCGCCTCCACAGCCGCGGCTCTGAGGGGGGTCCCCGCCGACCCTCACGCCCGCGCCACACACACACACACACACACACACACACACGGACAGACACACACGGACACACACACACACACGCAGATACACACACGCACGGACACGCGCGCACGCGCTCCGAGGCCCCTCCGGGCTTCCGTCCGCCCGGCCAGCGCCCCCAGAGACCTGCGTCCTCCACAGCGGACGGGCAGGGGGCAGGGGAAGCCCACGGCCTCGCGCCCGGCCACCCGCGGCGCCCCCGCTCGCGCAGCCAGTCGCCCGCCGCCGCCCGCCGCCCGCACCGGCCAGCGCCCGCTCGCGCCCGGTCCTCACCTGCGACGCGCCGCGGCCCCCGGCGCACCGCCCGGACCGGCTGTGTACACCGGAAGTGACGTCGTCGGCCCGGCCCCGCCCCCGCCCCAGGCGGACGCCGGGGTGGCTGCGGACCCGGCGTCCAGGAGCCGACCCGCCCCTTGCGTGAGCGGGGGCCGAGGGCGGCCCTGACCCTCCTGTCCTAGACACCCCCTCTCCTCCGCCCCGTGAGAAGGGGATGAGCACTGGCTGTCAGAGTCGTCCCCCCACTCCATCCCTAATCCTCCCGTGTCCTGACCTCCACCTCGCTGAGCCGCCAGGCTCCCTAGGGTCAGCGGTGAGTTCACGGACTGATTATGGAACTTGATTACCGGGAGATTGAAATATTGAGCGTTTACTCGAAGCCGGACCCGGACAGGCTCTGTAGAAACCAGAGATTTAAGCCGCCCTCATAGGTTTATTCTCTCTAGTGGTGGAAGCACTACATGTTGTCGAAAAATCACGCGTGATGATATAGTGCCAATTGTGACAAATGGCAAGAGGGAAAAGTGGAAGAGGGAGAGAGTCCCCTGACCTACTGAGTGAGAGTCATCACCGGGTTTCTTCATCTGGGGACTCAGCGGGAGTTGAGGTCCTAAAAGGAGAGAAGGGAAATATTAAACTTAGAAAAGCAGGGAAGAAGGGATCTGGTGGGCCTTGGAACAGCAGGTGTCTGTTCAGGAAATAAAGGTGTTGAGAGGCATTGGGAAACTATTCAGCTTTAAAAGCAAGAGATGCTTTTTACCATATTTGTGGGCAGAAAGGGATTACCTGGGCTAGGTTGTGGTGAAGGAGTAGAGAAGGAACGGCAAGAGTAACATTATTCATAACAGTCAAAAAGGTGAAAGGGGGTTGGAGAGTTCGGCAGTTAGCCAGGCAGTCACCCTATATTGGGGTGGGGCACACCCAGCAGTGCTCAGGGCTTAGTCCTGGCTCTGTGGTCAGGATCACTCCTGGCAGTGCTTCAGGGACCACACGAAGTATCAGGGAAGGAACCCAAGCTGCATGCAGGCCAAGTTCCTTACTTCTGTATTTATCTCTCTGACTCGCATCCACCCGACTGCATCTGGGTGACAGCAAGGCATGTAATCTTCCGTGCCCTTCAACCAGGTGTGTGCAAGCACAGCGAGAGGGGGTGGCCCCATGAGCACCGAAACCAAGTGTGAATGACCTCCAGTCATTGCAACAACTAAATTAAGGGGAAGAGGGCAGGAAAGAGTACAATTTTAAAAATTTTCATATGAAAACCTCCCAAGTTTCTGATACATGGATGAATCATGAAGACATTATACGAGAGAACTGAGCAGCCTCTTGAATAGACATCCTACAATCCCACGTACAGGAGGGACTAAAGTCCAATTCACGGAGACAGTCAGTAGAGTAGTTGCCAGGGTGGGGGTGGAAGGGGAGCTGGGGAGTTTGTATTCAGCCTGGACTGAGTTTCTGTTTGGGAAGCTAAAAAAGTAGTCAGTAGATGATGATCACACAACAATGGGAAGGAGCCTAAAGCAGTTCGTTATGGCTGACAGGGACCATAGGCACTTGGGTCTGGTCTAAAGGGCATCACTGCATCTAAAGATGATCACTGCATCTAAAGGTGATCATCTAAAGGTGATCACTGCATCTGTGGCAGTGATCACCAGTGCTCCAAACTTTTTTTTTGTGGGGGGGCTATCCCCAGCAATATTCAGGGTTTACTCTTGGCTCTGCATTCAGGGATCACTCCTGGTGGGCTCAGAGATTGGGGGACCATATGGGATGCCGAGGATTGAATCTGAGTTGGCTGTGGGCAAGGCAACCCTACCTCTGTGCTATTGCTCCAGCCTCCAAAATGAAACACTTTAAAATGATTGAAGTGCTAAGTTTTTGTTCCTGTTTTAATTTTGTTTTGATTTGGGGGTCATACCTGGCAGTGCTCAGGACTTACTCCTGGCACTGCTTTCAGGGATCACTCCTGGCAGTGTTCCAGGGATCATATGTGGTTTGTTTGGTTTTCGATGGGGTGAGGTTGGACTTCTAAGAGGTGCCCTGGAGGGCCAATTCTCAGCCAGCCAGGCTGTGTTCAACACACAGAGCTGGAGATGATGCTGCTGCTCTGGCCCTATGGTGCCAGAGTTTACCTGGGCCATGCAGTTGGTGCTCTGGGGCCTCCAGGGCTGCACCCAGTAATACTTGGGGAAACTTGTGGTGCTGGGAACTGAACCCAGGTCGTGCACAAGCTAGGCATACTCCTTAACCATTGTATTATCTCCCAGCCCCCTCAGGTGGTAACTATTATGGGTATTTTTTTATCACAATAAAAAAAAGTAATAGAGTTCATTTAGGGGAAAATTTCAATGATCCAAGGAAAAGGTGATCTTTCTTTAGACTAGGGCATCCTTTATTTGGGGGTTCTTGAGCATCTTTCAGAGAAAAAAGAAATTGAGGGGTCAGAGAGATAGTATAGTGGGTAGGACACTTGTCTTGCCAACCTGGGTTTGATCCCCAGCATCCTATATGATCCCCCCAAGCCCTCCAAGATTGATTCCTGAGTATAGAGCCAGGAGTAACCCTGAGCATCGCCAGTTGTGGACCCCCCTTCAAAAAATTTTTTTAAAAATTGAATACCTCAGGGGCCGGAGCGATAGCACAGTCGGTAGGGCATTTGCCTTGCATGTGGCCGACCCAGATTCAATCCCCGGCATCCCATATGGTCCCCCAAGCACCGCCAGGAGTAATTCCTGAGTGCAGAGCCAGGAGTGACCCCTGAGCATCGCTGGGTGTGACCCAAAAAGCAAAAAAAAAAAATTGAATACCTCAGACTTTTAATCCTATTATAACTATATGCATATATTGCACTATCACTGTATCACTGTATTACTGTCCTCCCGTTGTTTATCGATTTGCTCGAGCAGGCCCAGTAACATCTTCATTGGAGACTTTTGTTGTTACTGTGTTTGGCATATCGAATACATCACGGGTAGCTTGCCAGGCTCTGCCATGCGGGCAAGATACTCTCGAGGGGCTCTCCGAGAGGGGCGGAGGAATCGAACTCGGGTCGGCCATGTTGGCTGCGTGCAAGGCAAAACTCTATATTTTTTATATTATGAAATATGCAGAAGAGGAATGTTAGAAAGTAAAAAGTAGGGGTTGGAGCGATAGCACAGCAGGTAGTGTGTTTGCCTTGCACAAAGCCGAAACAGATTTGATTCCCAGCTTCTCATATGGTCCCCCGAGCACCACCAGGAATAATTCCTGAGTGCAGGAGTAATCCCCATGCATCACCAGGTGTGACCCAAAAAGCAAAAAAAAGAAAGTAAAAAGTACATAGAGGGGCTGGAGAGATAGCACAGTGGGTAGGGTGTTTGCCTTGCACACAGCCAATGATCTGGGTTCAATTCCTGGCATCCCATATGGTCCCCCGAGCACCGCCAGGAGTAATTCCAGAGTTCATAAGCCAGGAGTAGCCCCTGTTCATCGCTGGGTGTGACCCAAAAACCAAAAAAAAAAAAAGTAGAGAAGCTCTAAGATTTCTTTCTGTATTGCCTGGATGACTTCCTTACACTGGTGGGAACGTGACACTCACTTTGGAAGCATTTCCAAATCACAGTGGTGGCAGTGGAGAAGAATATGGTACAGACCACCAATGCAATGGCTGTGGGTGGAGGGTTGAGCCTCTGTGATAAGCCTTTACAATGCTGAGATGTGGTGAGAAACCCTGAGATCTGCTCCACAAGATGGAAGACAGGGAGGAAGATGTGAGTTCCTCTAGCAAGATGCTGGAGGAGGAAGCATGCTGTCGGCAGTTGGGCTGAAGTCGGAGTTGACGAGGGTAGTAGCCTGCTATCCGGGGTGCTCGGAGGGTCTTGAATGGTAGCTGATGGTTGAGGTTTTTTTGTTGTTGTTATTGTTTTATTTCTTTTCATTTTGAGGACACATCCAGCTAGGCTCAGGGCTTCCTCCTGGCTCTGTGCTCAGGGATCACTCCTGGCAGTGTTTGGAGAACCCTATGGGGTGCCATGGATCAAATCAAAGTTCGCTTCATGCCAGGAAACTGGCTTACCCACTGCACCATCTCTCTCTGGCCCTGAAATCCTCTTAAGCAGAGCAACTTAGAAAGATGTGGGAGCACCACAGCCAGCAGGGCAGTCTTTGGAGAGCACCATAATCAGAGTGTTCGCCATCCCCAGTGAGCACTTCAGCCAAGCTCGAGCACTGTCTCTAGCTGTCACAACATCTACAGTGCGAAGAGATGGGGAAATCTGAATTTTTTAGAAAGGTTAGGGGCCAGAGTGATAGTTCAGCAGGTAGGGTATTTGCCTTGCATGCAGCTAATCCAGGCTCGATCCCTGGCATCCTTTATTCCCCAACCCCCACCCCCGAGCACTTCCAGGAGTGATTCCTGAGTGCAGAACCAGGAGTAACCCAACTCGCTGGGTATGGTCCAAAAAAACTAAATAAATAAAAAACAAAATAAAAATAGAAAGAGGAGAAAGTCCTTAGCCACAGAAGCCTACGGAAGTATTGATCTGGCAGATGGGTGTGAATTGAAGCCTACACATGCACAAGGACAGATGGTGCCAACAAGACCATGTGACTAACATCTCTATGTACCGGTGAGGGTGCCAAGAAGGAGCCAGACAGGGGTCTCTCGAAACCATTAATCCCTGGGAGTAGAAGCAGAGGGGGAGTGAGAGGTAGTGGAAGCGCTGAGGCCTCAGAGGTGAGGGTTGTAGCCCTGAGAAATAAGCAGAGGAGGGATGAGAAGCCCCCACCCTCCAGCACTGTAGCAGCTGAGGGGGCACACAGAGACAGTCATGCAGAGGGGCATGTGGATGGTGGAGGATGAGCAAGTTCTTTCTGTGCACCTGGGCACATTGCTTGGCAGAAGCTGGATCTTCCGAGCAGGGCGTTTCAGGTGATTGGCAGGAGGGAGCAGTCT